CATAAGTGCATACTCTATAAGCGTATACTTAAATTCAGCCCAACTATTGTATGACCCATAAATTTGCTTTTTCTTATAGTTCCCTAAGTATATACTGTTAAATTTTAGACTCAAGCGCGAGGCAACGGCATTTGTTCTTTCAAATTGGTTTTGGTCAATAAGTATCTTCAAAAAATTCTTTTTTCTTGATTAATTTACAGTACATACTGCCATTAAATTTAATTGCAATGTTAAATGTAAAAATACTCTAATTATTGGGAGAATATTGGTTAGTAAAATTTTATTTAAAATATCAATTCTTCTTAACAATGTTTTGTAATTTAAAATCCATTGAAGTGAGATAATTGTTTCGTCATTTCTTTTGCAAATAAATTACATGGGCAATACTTATAAAAAACAAAATAGATAAAGGTAAAACAATAAAATAAAATGTAATTGATCTTTAAAACAATTACGATCTTATAATAAAATATTAAAAATGTACGATAACCTCTTAAAATTAGTCGGGCATAATTAAATTAATTTTTTACGTTAATATTGCATGTTCGAATGATAATAACTATTTGTCTTTATTAATTCGATTATGCATTAGGGGCTCTTTTAAATATTAATGCTGTATATTAAAAAATATTACATAAATTTGTATATTGAATTGCACTCTTTCGTTTAAGTAACAATAAATTAATTCAGTAATAAAAGCCTTGTGTTTTCCGTCAACCTTCGATATTTTTTTAAAAAAAAAGTTAAATAAATAAAACCAATTAATAAATAAGTCTCAACACATATTAAATCCATTTTCTAAATCTTCACCAATATCTCATTCTAACTTATCTGCTTATTCAATTTCTAATTCTATTCCTAATCCCAATTCTTCAATGATTAATCCTATTTCTAATCCCGATTCTTCAATTTCTAATCTTATTCCTAATCCCGATTCTTCAATTTCTAATCCTATTTCTCACTCTGTTCATTCAATTCCAAATCCTATTCCTCAACCCGGTCAATCAATTATTGATCCCGATTCTTTAGTTATTGATCCTACTTTAATTTTTGATTCTGATTCTTAAATTCTTGATCCTCAAAATGAAAAGATTCATGAAAGTTATTCTGATGATGAAATTAATACTAAAAACAATACAAAAAATTCAAAAAATTCAAAAAAAAGAACATTACCAATTCACGACTATCTGGATAAAACCGATGACGACCTCCGCATTTGTAACATATGTGATAACGACTCTGATATTGATAAACCTAGTAAATGGGGCATGTCTACCTCTTTGTCAATAATATCACATCATTTCGAAAGTAAACATCCAGATGTTTACAGAAATTTTCATTGAAAAAATGCAAAAACTTCTCACCTGTCATATTCTATGACTAATAAAGTTGGCAAAGATCATATCAATTCTTTAAACCACGACCTATATCAGTTAATTATTAAGAGCCAATTACCCTTTTCAATAGTCGACGCCGACCCTTTCATTAAGTTCATTTCAAATCTCGATCCTCAATACAAACTTCTATGTCACCAGACTGTCTCCACAACTATTAAAAATAAATTTGAATCGATGAGAACAGAAATTAAAAAAATATTAAAATTAAGCTTTAGTAAGCTAGGACTTACTATTGATGTTTGGACGGCATGCAATAGGCAACAATTTCTTGGTATTACTGTTCACTGGGTCGATACCAAATGGATTTTAAAAACCCTTCTTCTAGATTTTATACCCTTACACGATTCTCATACCAGTGCATATCTTGGTGAAAAAATACTTGAGGTTATAGAAAATCTGGAGATAAAAGATAAAGTTATAGTAAGTATAAATTAGACAGTATTGTATAAGTGATGCCAAGAGAAAACCGGACTTTGATCATATAAAATTTATATGATCAAAGTTGGGTTTTCTCTTGGCATTACTTATTTTATACTTATATTTTAATATTATCATTGTATTAAATATTATTATAGGATTTTACTAGAGATAATGCTTCTAATAATCAAACGTGTTTAACTTATCTCCAAGACCATATTAACCCAAATTTTACGTATATACGGTGTGCCACGCATATTTTGAATCTTGCGGTTAAAGATGGATTAAAACATTATATCAAACAAGTAAAACAAGTACGATGTATATGTAATAAAATTAGAAATTCACCTTTATTGTTAAATGAGATGAAGAGAATTTTTACTATCTTCAATCGCTCGTTTCTTCATCCCGAGCTTGATGTTGAAACAAGGTGGAATTCCACCTATCTTATGATTAAACGGTTTCTTTAAATTAAAGATATTGTAGATAATCTTATAAGAGTTCATCCCAATTTAAAAGAAGGTTATTTGGAACCTGAAGACTTGATGATAGCTAAAGAAATAGTTCAATTTCTTGAACCATTTTACGTGGTGACCCTAGAATTGTCCAAGACCGAAATACCTTTGCACAGTCTGTTGCAAATAATTTTTTGAGGCCTTCTTATACATCTTGACTCCTATATTGAACAAACCAATAAAAGTATATACCGTGAAGCAGCTCAAGGTTAGAAAAAAAATATTATTAAATATTTTTTTTAAAAAAAATAATTTTATTAATTTTTTTAAAATTTTTTTTTAATTTAGAAACAAAAAAAAAACTATTAAAATACTGGACCTACCTTTCAAAATCTTCAGCTATCCCGACACTTCTTGATCCTTCCATTAAGTTCGAAGCTTTTACCAATGAAGATCACCAGTCAGCTATTGAAAGCTTAAAAGATTTTTATTCTCTTTATTGTATAGATAAGGAGATAATTGAACCTAAAAAAGATCCTCTCGAGTACTTTCAAAATTTGGAAAAAATGAATAGAAATAAAGAAATTACAGCAAATGAGCTTACTACTTATCTTTCACTGCCACCAGAGCCAAGTACAAATCCCTTGTGGTGGTGGAAGACAAAAGCCTCACATTTTCCAAATGTAGCCTTGATGGCGGCTAATTACTTTGCACTCCAGGCTACGAGTGTTCCATGTGAGCGTGCTTTCTCCATGGCGAAACATACTTTAAATCTCGAAAGGAATAGCCTTCTTGAAGAATCCACATGAGCATCTTTGTGTGTAAAAAGCTGGTCCGAAGCTGGGATCTTAAAAATTAATATAAAAATATAAAATAAAAATTTTTTTTGAAAGAATATATAGAATAGAACGTTTAGATTAAAAAAATTAGATGTTAATTGATTATCAAATCATATGTATGTATTACTGTATTATTATTATATAGACAGACTTGACTCAAGGACTAAGTCCTAATCAAAGTCCCTATTTAAGGATCCGGACCAAAAGGATTGGACTTTTAACAACTCTACTTGTACTATTGATTGATGCTATTGTTGTAGCAAAAGGTGGTAAATTTTTCAATAAAAAAGAAAATTTAGCTAATAATTATATCCAAAGATTACATAACTATTGGATCGGATTATAAATCATTTCTGATTAGCTAATATAGATTTATATATAATATACATGTGTTATTGAGTATAGAGAACAGTCATATCTAGGGATGGTTAGGTTGGTTTAGATTTGGTTTTGGTTTCAAAACTTTTAAATTTCATTTTGTAAACCTAAAAACTTGGTTTTTAAAAAGTTCTAGAACCTGGTTCCAAACCTGGTTATAGAATTGGTTCTGAAGCCTTGCTCTAGAACCTAAGTTTTATAATATAGTAAGACCTTTAAATGCAACTCCCTAATATACATGCTCTGTGAAAGCTCTTCGTAAATATATGTCTTCACTTGGGTCTAACTAATATTCTATAATGCACCTTTTTTTTATTGTTCTTTAAGAACCTATTATGAATTTAAAAACCTATTATAAACTTAAGAACTTATTATAAATCTAAGAACCTATTATAAATCTTGACTTAAAAACCTATTATAAATCTAAAAACTTAAAAATCTATCATAAACCTAAAAACCTAGGTTCCAAAATTGAAACCTAGTTTTTAAAAACCAGGTTCTAAAAACCAGGTTTTAGGTTCCAAACCTAGCAACTTTACCATCCCTAGTCATATCCGATGATTTCCAAGATCGACATTACACAAGTATTTATACAGAATAGTAGTTTAAAACCAGAAATTTCAGGTATAAGTAAACTTTTAAAAAACAAAACCAATCATGCAATACTTTACTAATAAAATAGCTTTGTAGGAAACGTCTTTTCAAGAAACTTAAGTTGCATCACGCTGGAAAAGGTCATTCTGCTAAAGGTTGAAGTACTATCTACTTTTTATAATAAGAGGTAATAAAAGCATATTGTATTGCTTAATTCACAAAGTTCAACATTGTTTTTGCTGATTTTTTTTTTGTTATTTAAATTATTAACTTGGTAACTTTTATTTTTGAATTTCCGCAGGCTTATTTTAAAGTTATGATATTTCTTAAAAGATATTTAACACGATAGGATTATTTAATATATACAATAGCGATAATATAATTTTATTAATAATTACATAAGATTTTAAGGAAAAATTATTGAAGGACGTGTAACTGGTTACTAAAAGCCTTATAAAATAGAATGTTTGCAATTGTAAAATTGCTATTAGAGTGTGAGTGAATAGTCTAATTCTTTTACAACGCGAGTTATTTTACTTTGTAATTAAAACGAAAGAAATTATAATAGATAAATAATGCCCGTTGATTGGCTGCTTAGTTCAACGACTATCTATCTGTTTTGATCATGTGTTGGTAAAGCCGGTCTCTGATTGGTCAAAAATCTTATGACAAAGCCCGTGCTTTTCCGAAAAATACGAATGTTCCCCATGCTTCGTTATCGTCATAAAAAAAAAAAAAAATGTTTTCCTTACAGAGAATTTATCCGGTAGTACCTCAATTACAAAAAAAAATTCATCCCTTCTCTTTAAAAACTATCATTCCTACTAGTTTTAACTTTGGGCTAAATTCTTTAAGGTATTAAGCCATCAGTATAAAAAAGTTTGAATAGACGAATTAATTTTATATAAAAAAAGCAGGATTCAATCACAACATCCCATTCCCATAAACACATTTTGGTCTTCTCAAGTTCGATTCAAAGCTTATGGCAGAGAATATCAACCAAGTAATCTCATAAGAAAACGGAGAAATGGTTTTTTGGCTAGGTTAAGGCGCAAATCAGGAAGAAGAATTTTGGCTCGAAGGCGTTTAAAGGGCAGAAAGTATCTATCACATTAATAATTATGTTTAATAAATCTTTTTGTATAGAGGTCCGTATGTAATCGTTTGTTGTAATTGGATTGAACATTGCATTTTATTATTATTATTATTATTATTTAGATTTGTTTAGTCGTTTTTATTTTATTTTATTTTAGATGATATTGTATATATGGATAAAAAGGTTATATAAATGCGCCAAAATAAGCAAAATAAGTAAACCGATTTTGAGTTTTCACACCTGAATATTTATGATCAAGTTTTTACACTTATTTTTTACATTTCTAAACAATATTCCTCAGCACTGTTATAATATATATATGTTAATAACTTTTTCATAAAAAAATTAGAAAAACATTTGTTGTACATACCGAGAATAACAGAGTCCCCACGTAAAAACATCTTGCTAATAAACCTATCCTTATTAACTGGCTTAGCTTTCTTGCCTTTACCAGCTTTTGGCGTTTCAGTCCACATCTAATAAAACAATTTATTTTTATGAATTTTAGACATGTATCAAAATCATTTTAAAAATAAAAATATTACCTACCTCTTTAACGTTCTCTAACACCATATTACAATGCCGGTCAAAGGCTTTGACACGAGCTAGTAACTTTCGATTATTTCTACAATTTATCAATATTTGGGTATTATTCTTTACTGATTGTTGTAATACCGATAAAGGACCGGTATTAAATTCATGTTCTTCGAGTTGACGAAGTTCTTCTTCAGTCATTTCCGCTTTTGATTTTGCTTGAGTACTAATGTTATAAAGTGTAATTGTGTTAGCTGTGAACTTTGTAGAAAGTAATCAATATACGAGAATCTCAACGCTTATGCGTTTCCAAAAACTAGTATTCTTTCTTTAAAACGGTAGAATCTCGTACACAAGTTTAAATACGTAAATTTATTTGGTATTTTTTTTTTACCTCATGGTGATTGCTTCTTTTAATAATTCGTGGTTTGATTCTTGGTTTTCGGGGAAAAGTTGCTTTTTAAACCAATCAGATCATATTTATCATAATTTAGTTATCACGTGTTAATATTATCTAAATTCTGCGTCTTTATTGGTTTGGAAGAATTGTTTTTTATGAAACCTAATATACCTTCGAATCCTAACTTAGTAGCAAAGCCTAACTATAACCTAACAGCACGAAATTTTATTTCGAAATATATATATATACATATAGGTTTGAAATTTTTTTGTATAGCAATTCTACTCTATATAGTGGATTTTGATTGGCCAACGGCTGTGATCGACAAAATTCCGGCCCGCATTATACATAATTTTGGCCGAAATTAATTTTTTAGTTTTTAATCCCCAAAAAGACAGGTTTGGGACTATTCAATAATAAAATTAGCTAAGAATTATTTTTTACTTAATAGACAATTAAGATTTTATTAGTAAAAATTTAAGTATAACTAAATTATTCTTCAATTTGGCTTAAACGACTGCTATAAAAATAGCAAGATTATCGAAATACTATTACACAGTAGATGATCGTTCGCAGAGAATGTATGATATGAACAATTATGTATTTCCAGATCTTTTTTTGAACATTATCAGTTACACCGTTCTAACAAATCAATAATTAAAATAAATTAAGAACATGTTTTTGATATAGATTGTTTGATCAACAACAATGAGCTATATATGATCATCTCTTCTAATTGGCAACATTAGATTTAAAGGTTTACAAATTAGCGTAGACACCAAGTACAAATAATTTTTTTTAAAAATTACATACAATTAGGTCTACGATAAATATATAAATGCCGGTTCTATTCTAGGAATATCTTTTCTAGTTTCATATTGATAGCAATTACTGACATAAAGATAAATCATTCTAGTGATATATCTAATGAACAGGCTGACCCCAGTCTATCGGCCGGGCAGACTGAGGGTTGCCCCACACCTTCACAGGCTGGTCGGGCTGACTAAGATATTAAATGATAAATTATTAAGATAATTAATGTAAGTTGCCAGAACTTTTGGCTAAGTTATCAAATTAGATTGAAATTAATAATAAATTTGGCCATCATTAAGTCAGAATCAAAGGAAAAAAATTTGACATGCTAAATACCACAATTCGACAACTTAATCACAGATAAATTATTATATGACTCAAATTAAAAAATTCAACAATTCGACAATCAATAGATATAGATGAAGAAAGTCTGCCTACTTTAGGTAAATAATTGACACAATAATCTTATGTTGGTTGATTGGCATGATGATAGTTGGCTTACAGTAGTCAAAGAATTGATTAACTCTATACAAGTTTCAGAATTATATTACAAACCACAAATCGACAATCGATAGTTAGTTAAAGAATTGATTAACTCTATACAAGTTTCTAAATCATATTACAAACCACAAATCGACAATCGATAGTTAGTTAAAGAATTGATTAACTCTATACAATACAAGTTTCTGAATTATATTACAAACCACAAATCAGCAATCAATAGTTAGTCAAAGAATTGATTAACTCTATACAATACAAATTTTTAAATTATATTACAAACCACAAATCAACAATCGATAGTTAGTTGAAGAATTGATTAACTCTATACAATACAAATTTTTGAATTATATTACAAATCACAAATCAACAATTGATAGTTAGTCAAAGAATTGATTAACTCTATACAATACAACTTTTTGAATTATATTATAAACCACAAATCGACGATTGATAGTTAGTCAGAGAATTGATTAACTCTATACAAGTTTCTGAATCATATTACAAACCACAAATCGACAATTGATAGTTAGTTGAAGA